ATTGACGTCATGAACATTGATCCATGCAAATGGGATACAATGACAATTAACCAAGTCATAAATCCTGATGCCCCTATCCTTTTACATACACAGAGATGCCAACCCTGAATCAAAAGCAATTCCCGAGCCCTGAAGGTGCGTTGGGGGTGAGCGTGAGAGGGGGCTCAGGCCCCTTTTGACAGTGGGGGTCTCGGGGGCGTCCCCTATGAAAATCTTTAGATTTAGCCTGGAAATTTGCAATTTCTGGGCATACGTAACCAGAAAACTCTTAACTCAAACGAACATATTTACTAAAAGTCTTTCAAACATTCTAAATTTATAAAGATGTTTGTATTTTCTAAAAAATCGAAGTTTTTACAGATAAATCGGAGTGTGGATTTTGTATTTGAAAATCGGTGGTTGGCATCTCTGCATACAACATGCCCCCAAACAACATCAACATGATCCACTGGAACTACATTCATACCCAGAATCCCTCTGTGTGTTACCCATGAAGATCCAGGTTAGAACTGATCTTCAGTAACCCATGCTTGTCGTAGGAGGCGACTTACAGGATCAGGTGGTGAGACTCGCTGACTTTGCCAATTGCGTAAATCAATGCTTATGCTGTTGATCACTGGATTGTCTCGTCCAGACTTGATCACTTACAGATGCTGCCAAAATCCTGGCATGCTGCCGAGTTGGTGTTAAACAACAAACAAAATCCTCTGTGTGTATCCATTAAACCATTAACACTCTGCAGTATGCTGCTGCAATGGATATATATAATACTGGAGATTTGAACATGATGTGTCAACACATCACAGATCACAACTTATCACAGACCAAGTTCATATACATGATAAAGGTACCAGCTACACCTAATCTAAGAAATGCCCAGCACTAGTCATCATTTAAAAGACACTAAATCTTTCATAATAAATCGGGGCAGTGGGGCAGCCTAATGGTTAAAGCGTTGGCTCGTCATGCCGAAGACCCGGGTTCGAACCCCCACATGGGTACAATGTGTGAAGCCCATTTCTGGTGTCCCCCGCCATGATGTTGCTGGAATATTGCTAAAAGCGGCGTAAAACCAAACTCAGTCAGTCAGTCATAATAAATCTGGTTCCAGGGATGATAAAATCGAAATTTCGTATTCTGTTATTTTGCCCCCTGATGGGAGTTATATGAACATGAGCATTAATTAAACACCTTTTTTAGAATTTGCACTACAGTAAATAATTAATTGTTTGAAACACAACAAATGAGTAGTATTCAGGTGAAACTAACTACCATCCTACAATTAATAAACCTAACACTAGCAATCAGTACCGATGTATTGACATGATGGTTGAAGTCTAAAATATTTATTTCAACAACACTGAAAAGTATCAACAGTCCACAAATTGGACAGTCTCATTTTGCAATGAAAAGTGATAGTGGTTGACCTAGAAATCAGCATGAGCTCTGACGTCAGTATGTAAAGTATCCCCCTGCATGAATGACATTTACATCATGTCTCTTCATACTGAGTCTAACTGGAATTCAGATCTCATTGTTATCGTTACTGCATGCTTACACCCGTGAAGATCAGAGTTAGAATTGATCTTCAGTAGCCAATCCTTGTTGTAAGAGGCAACTAAGGGGATTGGGTGGTCAGGCTCGCTGACTTGGTTGACACATGTCATCGTAATCCAATTGCATAGATTGATACTCATGCTGTTGATCACTGGATTGTCTGGTCCAGACTCGATTATTTACAGACTGTGGCCATATAGCTGGAGTATTGTTGAGTGAGGCATAAAACGAAACTCACTCACTCACTACTGCATGCTTACTCTGTGTGCCAGACATATAATAATGTCTGATGTGTGTGCACAAGTGAGTTAGTGAGTGAGGTAGTTTAATTTTACGCCGCTTTTAGCAATATTCCAGCAATATCACAGCGGGGTACACCAGAAATGGGCTTAACACATTGTACCCATGTGGGGAATCGAACCCGGGTCTTCAGCTGTCAAGCAAACACTTTAACAACTAGGCTACCCCACCACCCCTATGTCCACAAGTAATTGTTCCATTAATTGTCATTGTTTTTTTAGATTGGATTTTGTATCAGGTGGTGATCAAAAAAGTCTGGGACTTATTAAGGATTCCACAAGCTGTTTGCATATAAATAAGGAAAAAATTGTGAATATGGTTCATTAAAATCAGATCTTAATGAGTGCTTGCTACAGCTCAGAAAGACATTTCACTAACTTTGACTCACCAACGATATAGAAAAGCAAGTTTCTTGAGCTTTATGGTTCCAGTCTCAAAATGGCAACTTCCATTCACAACCACATTTTCAACAAAATATTTCAACAAAATTCTTGATTCAAAATTTGAGAACTGAACTGAGGAATAATCTTGAATGTTTCATAGATGGCCCTAGATTGTTTGCCTCTTCCATTTTAAAAGGCTATCCTGAAATGCCCTGAGCTTGTATGATTTGAAAACACAGTTGTACCTTCTTTCACCTTTCAGCGATGAGGTCAAAGGTGAAGGGCATGAAATGTCAATCTGATGTGACCTGTTATACTATGTGCTGAGATTTCTAATCTTATCAGATTTGAATGAGATTGTCTTCTTTTTGGAGGACTGAATCCAAGACATCAGCAGCCCCTACTTCCTCTTCATAAAGGACATGAAATAGTTGGTCCCTTTAGTTCAGATGTACAAATCACTGTTGAGTGAAGATAGTTCAATATCAAGACTCATCTTGAATACTGTGATCATTTACAAACTTGATTCAATGATTTTATCCACTCATGGGTCTAAGTATATGTATAACCCTTTGAATAGTACAAAAATAGACCTTCAGCCCAAGGAAAAAATGTTCCTTGAAATGTTCTTTGCAGGATGTTCCTTAAAATGTTCCATCTGGATTTAATAATCCGACACAGTTTTTTCTTTACCTAGCTTCTCAGCAGCGAAGACAAGAAGATGGCTGTTGGAGAGTGTCATCTGCTCCCTGTCTCTATCAATTCCGGTTATTCTCCTGGAAGTAAAAACAATATTGCCATTTAATACCACGATGGTTGCCCATTCTGACTTCTGCTCAAGTCTTTCAGGTCAACGCCTAGAAAAATTAAAAAGCGATGATTGGAAAATGATAGAAAAAGAAGGATGGACAGATGATGGACCAAATGATCAATGGATGGACCCAGATCAGATATTGACAACTGGATGATGGATGACACAAAACAATCCTGATGAGACAGATTTTTCATATTTAGGCCAGACCAATTTTATTTCTTGTTTCACGGAGCAATTTCTGGGCATACTTAACCAGAAAACTCTTAACTCAAACGAACATATTTACTAAAAGTCTTTCAAACATTCTAAATTTATAAACATGTTTGTATTTTCTAAAAAAATCGAAGTTTTTACAGACAAATCGGAGTGTGGATTTTGTATTTGAAAATCGGTGGTTGGCATCTCTGCATACAACATGCCCCCAAACAACACCCAACATGATCCATTGGAACTACATTCATACCCAGAGATCCCTCTGTGTGTTACCCATGAAGATCCAGGTTAGAATTGATCTTCAGTAACCCATGCTTGTCGTAGGAGGCGACTTACAGGATCAGGTGGTGAGACTTCGCTGACTTTCCCAATTCTGCGTAAATCAATGCTTATGCTGTTGATCACTGGATTGTCTCGTCCAGACTTTATCACTTACAGATGCTGCCAAAATCCTGGCATGCTGCCGAGTTGGTGTTAAACAACAAACAAAATCCTCTGTGTGTATCCATTAAACCATTAACACTCTGCAGTATGCTGCTGCAATGGATATATATAATACTGGAGATTTGAACATGATGTGTCAACAAATCACAGATCACAACTTATCACAGATCAAGTTTATATACATGATAAAAATACCAGCTACACCTAATCTAAGAAATGCCCAGCACTAGTCATCATTTAAAAGACACTAAATCTTTCATAATAAATCGGGGCGGTGGGGCAGCCTAATGGTTAAAGCGTTGGCTCGTCATGCCGAAGACCCGGGTTCGAATCCCCACATGGGTACAATGTGTGAAGCCAATTTCTGGTGTCCCCGCCATGATGTTGCTGGAATATTGCTAAAAGCGTAAAACCAAACTCAGTCAGTCAGTCATAATAAATCTGGTTCCAGGGATGATAAAATCGAAATTTCGTATTCTGTTATTTTGCCCCCTGATGGGAGTTATATGAACATGAGCATTAATTAAACACCTTTTTTAGAATTTGCACTACAGTAAATAATTAATTGTTTGAAACACAACAAATGAGTAGTATTCAGGTGAAACTAACTACCATCCTACAATTAATAAACCTAACACTAGCAATCAGTACCGATGTATTGACATGATGGTTGAAGTCTAAAATATTTATTTCAACAACACTGAAAAGTATCAACAGTCCACAAATTGGACAGTCTCATTTTGCAATGAAAAGTGATAGTGGTTGACCTAGAAATCAGCATGAGCTCTGACGTCAGTATGTAAAGTATCCCCCTGCATGAATGACATTTACATCATGTCTCTTCATACTGAGTCTAACTGGAATTCAGATCTCATTGTTATCGTTACTGCATGCTTACACCCGTGAAGATCAGAGTTAGAATTGATCTTCAGTAGCCAATCCTTGTTGTAAGAGGCAACTAAGGGGATTGGGTGGTCAGGCTCGCTGACTTGGCTGACACATGTCATCGTAATCCAATTGCATAGATTGATGCTCATGCTGTTGATCACTGGATTGTCTGGTCCAGACTCGATTATTTACAGACCGTGGCCATATAGCTGGAGTATTGTTGAGTGAGGCATAAAACTAAAACTCACTCACTCACTACTGCATGCTTATTTCTGTGTGCCAGACATATAATAATGTCTGATGTGTGTGCACAAGTGAGTTAGTGAGTGAGGTAGTTTAATTTTACGCTACGCTTTTAGCAATATTCCAGCAATATCACAGCGGGTACACCAGAAATGGGCAACACATTGTACCCATGTGGGGAATCGAACCGGGTCTTCAGCTGTCAAGCAAACACTTTAACAACTAGGCTACCCCACCACCCCTATGTCCACAAGTAATGGTTCCATTAATTGTCATTTTTATTTTAGATTGGATTTTTGTATCAGGTGGTGATCAAAAGTCTGGGACTTATCAAGGATTCCACAAGCTGTTTGCATATAAATAAGGAAAAAATTGTGAATATGGTTCATTAAAATCAGATCTTAATGAGTGCCTACTACAGAGATGTGAGGACAGCTCAGAAAGACATTTCACTAACTTTGACTCACCAACGATATAGAAAAGCAAGTTTCTTGAGCTTTATGGTTCCAGTCTCAAAATGGCAACTTCCATTCACAACCACCACACTTACACATTTTTCAACAAAATTCTTGATTCAAAATTTGAGAACTGAACTGAGGAATATTCTTGAATGTTTCATAGATGGCCCTAGATTGTTTGCCTCTTCCATTTTAAAAGGCTATCCTGAAATGCCCTGAGCTTGTATGATTTGAAAACACAGTTGTACCTTCTTTCACCTTTCAGCGATGAGGTCAAAGGTGAAGGGCATGAAATGTCAATCTGATGTGACCTGTTATACTATGTGCTGAGATTTCTAATCTTATCAGATTTGAATGAGATTGTCTTCTTTTTGGAGGACTGAATCCAAGACATCAGCAGCCCCTACTTCCTCTTCATAAAGGACATGAAATAGTTGGTCCCTTTAGTTCAGATGTACAAATCACTGTTGAGTGAAGATAGTTCAATATCAAGACTCATCTTGAATACTGTGATCATTTACAAACTTCGATTCAATGATTTTATCCACTCATGGGTCTAAGTATATGTATAACCCCTTGAATAGTACAAAAATAGACCTTCAGCCCAAGGAAAAAAAAATGTTCCTTGAAATGTTCTTGCAGGATGTTCCTTAAAATGTTCCATCTGGATTTATCGTCACGACACAGTTTTCTTTATGAGCTTTCTCAGCAGCGAAGACAAGAAGATGGCTGTTGAGAGTGTCATCTGCTCCTGTCTCTATCAATTCCGGGTTATTCTCCTGGAAGTAAAACAATATTGCCATTTAATACACGATGGTTGCCCATTCTGACTTCTGCTCAAGTCTTTCAGGTCAACGCCTAGAAAAATTAAAACGATGATTGGAAAATGATAGAAAGAAGGATGGACAGATGATGGACAAATGATCAATGGATGGACAGATCAGATATTGACAACTGGATGATGGATGACAAAAAACAATCCTGATGAGACAGATTTTTCATATTTAGGCCAGACCAATTTTATTTCTTGTTTTACGGATTTTTGTCCTCAGAAAACCTAAAGGCAGGAGCAAAAAATAAATAAAATAAAATCACCAGTCAAAAAGTATTTTACTTTTGGCAATTTATGAAGTGTATATGGGGCAAAAAACATTAAAAAAACATTTTTCTTGTAAGTTTACATTTTTGACCAATAAAAACATCATAATTTTATTTTTTGAGCAGGGAAAATATAATTTTATTTTTTTTCTTATTCTTTAAAAGATATGACAGGTGCATCCGTAAAACAAGAAATAAAATTGGTCTGGCCTTATGAAACACATAAATGGAACAGTCTTACTATGGAATATACAAGAATATCTGGGACACTAGAGCAAGCAACTTTGGTGTTTAAATCCCCATTGAAGAGTAATCAGTTATATCAGGGCTTGTCAGCTCAAAGCAGGGGAAAATTAAAGCGAAAAGGTCAACTATGTATACAATCTGCTGAAACCCTTTCACCCTGGTATGGGTGCTGTAGCACAAATGAGGGAAATCCTTATGTTCAAACCCATGACCAGAAGTACTTGAATGGCTGAAACAGTAACCCACGGCAACTCAGACCATGTGGACCAGAGATGCCTACCCTGAATCTAAGGAAAACGGAGTCACGACTGAAAACCAGGCCTGAGCACCAAAGGTGCGAGTTGGGGGTGAGCACGTGGTCAGCTCTGCCATTTTGTTTCACTTTCATACAGACTATGACATGCATTCAGGAAAAACTTTGTGAAACTTCATCGTCAATAACACACAATGTACACAATCGACACCCAAAGGATCACAAGCTAAAGTTCTGAATGCTTTACCAGTGTTCACTCAAATAAATCACCAGTGACTTACAAAATTGTATACCGTAAAAATAAATTCAGATTTTTTTCTAAAAAATCAGTATTTTAAAGAGAAATCGGAGAGCAGATTTTGTATTTGAAAATCGGAGTAACTCCGCCAAAATCAGAGTGGTTGGCATTTCTGTGTGGCCTTGCATGCCTGCTGGATGCCTGTCTACTGCCTACTCATGACAATTATTTGAAAGTTACCTTGATGGCTGTGACGAAGGTGTGAATGAGGTGATAGTCCGCTCCTCCATGGCCCCATCGCCGGGCGAACTCATCCACCTTTAGACTTTCTGTGGCTGAAAGATTGAAATCAAGTGTTAATCACCTACAGTAATCTCACCTGATTGAGCCGAAGGCAATTATTGACAAATGAACTTTAAATATTGTAAAATGAAAATCAATTACATCATTTACATGGGAACAGCATTGTGGAGGGAGACAGTTCAACATGGGAACAGCATCATGGAGGGGGGCAGTTCAACATGGGAATAGCATTGGGGAGGGGGGCAGATCACATGGGAAAAGCATCTGAGATGGGGAAGATCAGCATGGAAATAGCATCCGGGAGGGGGCAGATCAGCATGGAAATAGCATATGGGAGTGGGGTAGTTCAACATGGGAATAGCATCTGGGAGGGGCAGATCAGCATGGAAATAGCATCCGGGGAGGGGGCAGATCAGCATGGAAATAGCATCCAGGAGGGGGCAGATCAGCATGGAAATAGCATCCGGGAGGAGGGCAGTTCAGCATGGAAATAGCATCTGGGAGGGGGCAGATCAGCATGGAAATAGCATCCGGGAGGGGGCAGATCAGCATGGAAATAGCATATGGGAGTCAGCATGGGTAGTTCAACATCAGGGAATAGCATCCGGGAGGGGGCAGATCAGCATGGAAATAGCATCCGGGAGGGCAGATCAAATGGAAATAGCATCCGGGAGGGCAGATCAGCGAAATAGGGGAGGGCAGATCAGCATGGAAATAGCATCCGGGAGGGGCAGATCAGCATGGAAATAGCATCTGGGAGGGGCAGATCAAATGGAAATAGCATCTGGGAGGGCAGATCAGCATGGGAATAGCATATGGGAGGGGGGCAGATCAAATGGAAATAGCATCTGGGAGGGGCAGATCAGCATGGAAATAGCATCCGGGAGAGGGCAGATCAGCATGGAAATAGCATCCGGGGAGGGGCAGATCAAAATGGAAATAGCATCCTGGAGGGGGCAGATCAGCATGGAAATAGCATCCGGGAGGGGCAGTTCAGCATCCAGGGAAATAGCATGGAAATAGCATCCGAGAGGGGCAGATCAAAATGGGAATAGCATCTGGGAGAGGGCAGATCAGCACGGAAATAGCATCCGGAGAGGGCAGATCAGCATTGAAATAGCATCTGGGAGGGGGCAGATCAGCATGGAAATAGCATCCGGGAGGGCAGATCAAAATGGAAATAGCATCCGGGGAGGGCAGATCAGCATGGAAATAGCATCTGGGAGGGGGGCAGATCAGCATGGAAATAGCATCCGGGAGGGGGCAGATCAAAATGGGAATAGCATCTGGGAGGGGGGTAGTTCAACATGGGAATAGTATCTGGGAGGGGGTCAGTTCAACATGGGAATAACAGCAGGGAACAGCATTGTAATGGTCAAAATGTTAATTTCCTGTTATTTCATTTATACTGGCTCAGTTGGTTAAGGTAGTAAAACAAATTGTTAATAATATTTCCACCACTTTTCTTTTTCATATGACACCAGAATTCTACAATATTAAGTAATCATAATGGTTAAAAGGTTTATTCATTTGCTAGTTTTGAACACATTTCACTTTTTATGAGGTGCCAATTTTAAGTCAACCTTAATAAGAAGGGAGATAACTTCTAATTGGGGTGTTCAAAATCACCATGTGGTTTCTGCTGCATGCACATGGAGTCAGGAAAGAATGTTTTGAGGTCTGAAGTAATGGTAAGGCAATTTTATTCACTTATTGGACAATTCATTAGAAGGAATTTATTTGTAAATGCATTTTCTGTATTTGTACCATACATAATAACATAATTTTTCATAACTTAGGTTTTATACCTGTTTTGGACTTGACATATGGAAAAAGGCCAAGATTTCAAATTTTGTTCACTTTTGGCTTAAAAGTTGGTATGGAAGATATCTGAAATATTAAGCTTCCTGTTTATTTTGTGCAAATAAGATATTGGTTTTGCATTTGTGTAATGTCCAAGTTTGTGCTGTAATCTACATTGTCAAATGTACATGCCATTATGCAGTTGTGGTAAAATGGGTTTTTCAGCAAGCTCAATTTGTCGGTACTTATTAGGAGTTGCAGCTCGTATATTTCCCGATTGTCAGTGAGTGCTTTGAATTTGTCATAGGTCGGTCAGTCGGTCAATCCGTCGCCATGTTTCAGTTATCCAATCTAGAGCGTTCACTTTGATTGGAGAGGTATAAGCCAATCGCTGATAGATTTACTTTCATTATCCATGTATTCACTGGGATTGGGTAGCAATATAAGCACTGTAGCACTTGTCAGTAGTCAGTCCATACCAGCAGCTGGTTCAGAAGTGAGAGCTCCGTAGCACCATTACGGTCTGTTTAAGAACTAACTCCCCTTTTCCCACACCCATAGTTATGATAGGTTAATAATAAAGTAATAATATGGAGTAAGTAGGGTTAGACAGGGTGGGTAAATAGGATATTTTTGGATTATAGATTTTCGTGGGTGGGTGAGTTTCGTTTTACACTGCACTCAGAAATATTCTTGCTATATGGCAGCAGTCTGTAAAAAATCAGGTCTGGACCAGACAATCCAGTGATCAACAGCATGAACAAGCATGGGTTACTGAAGATCAATTCTAACCCGGATCTTCACGGGTTATAGATCCTAGGTTGCAGCAACATTACATAACAGGCAAGACAAACATGCTCAATAGTTTCATAGCAGCTGATGACATAGCAGACAGTCATGCCCATTATCAAATTATCTCTTATTACAGTTATGTGGTCTTTTTAATGCCCATGTTAGCATTTTCACAATGTCTGCAAATCAAACAACAATTCAAAATATCACTGATATGTATAATCATTGTTTACGATAAGTTGCTGAGTGACCAAAAATACATTAAATCATATTTGGCAAAATAATAAACACAAAGTGAGTGAGTGAGTGAGTCAAAATTTATCGTCACATCGGCAATATTTCAGCCATATCGTGACGAGAACAATTAATTTTATACATAGTAATTAATGGTAAATTGTAAAAACCTGTCAACGAAGGACAGTAGGCACTGTGTCATCTCAGCAATCACACGTGTACAGTTTGAAGGTGGATCATCTGACATTGTTTTAATCACTAGTCTAATATGACTAATCTAGTCATATTGAGTAATTTGTGTCTTTATAAGAAACCAAAAAAATTCATTAGAAGGGCAAGAATTCACACAGCATCCATACATTAAAATCCTGTGAACCTAGTCAAATCAATTCAATTCTTTATTGCATGAAAGGCCATAGGCCCACATACAAAAGAGATACATCTTAACAATGGCATATATATAATCAACTTCTAACTAACCAATTCTTTTCTTAACAAAAATGCATTGCACTTCTACTGACGAGCAGAGGTTACTGGGTTCCAGTTCTAAAATAAAACTCTAATTTGTTTCCAGCTGATCTTAGCTATACAGGATGCATTTGTACATGAATAAAGGAACTAATTTGACAATAAATGTACAGGTCTTACTTGTCTGTCCACTTAAGAAGTCAAACACTCTGATGCCATCATCAACACATGAGATTTCTCCCTGTCAAACAAAGCAAAACATGTCAGATCATTTGGTAATAATATGTGTGGGTTTAGAAGCTTTTTCAATGGACAAAACATTGTATAATTGCCATTAATAATAATGAGGGTACTTATACTGCACAATACTCCACACCACAGACGGGCATACTCAAAGAGCGCACAATCAGCACATTACCCCCGATAACCCAAGCTGCCTGTTAGGTGATTGAAGGTTCTAGTCATATGACTTATCCCACCAGGTACCCATTTGCTGCTGGGGGAACAGAGGCAATTTATGAACAAACTCACTTACCTAAGGTGAGACCACATGTATCACATGTGTTTTGTAGTGAAACTGACCTTTAAATATCCCCAGGTATTTGTCTAGGATTCCAAACTAAGTGCCTTATACAAATCATATTTTTCATAACTGTGACTTTCACAAAGTTTGTATTTTCTCAAATTTGACAATAAATTTGGATAATTCAGCATGTGTTTGTGCAAAGCCATTGTTGAAAAAAGTAAAATCTCATTCACACAGAATGCAGTGTCAATACTGCTGAGCTCCAGATAAGATTTAGCTCATGTAGGTACTGTACCCACTGTATTTTTTTGGAGTGGGTATTATGAATGTTGAGTGGGTATTTCATTTTCCGTTACCCACTGCTTTCAAATATGTGAGTATTTCAGTGATTTTACTCACCTAAGTATATGTCATTGAGTGCGTTTATTAAGCAGGTATGCACTGCCTTATGTCATATCTCATCGAAAACCAACTTAAATATAATGAAAAATATTTACTAAATAATCACTCATTTACAATCAAGTTGACTGTGTTAGCATTTCCACATAACTTAAACTTAGTCTGTAACTTAAACAACAGATCAAAATATCACTGATATGTTTAATCATTGTTCATAAGTTGCTGAGAGACCAAAAATACATTAAGTCATCTTTGACAAGATAATAAAAACAAAGTGAGTATCGCTGACTTCAGATCGTGTGTCAAAATGTAAAAGCTGCATTCTCGCGATTACTATTCAATGCGTTATTGGAAATTTTCGATGCGTATTTTACCCAGATATGCAGCTTATCGGCCGCAGAGTTTACCCGGATACGCAGGTTATCAGCCTCGGAATACTTCACAGATAAGTGCCCTTAGCCCGCAAACCAAGACAAACTGGAATTTTTATTAAAGTTCCTATTTTTCACATTTTATAATTAATTTAAATAATTTGATATTTATTTGTTATAGTGACTGACAGAATGAACTCGGTCACACAGAATGCATGTCAGTACTTCAGTATATGAATGTATTCACAGGGAACAGGACCATACAGCAATACAATGCGATGTAGTATTGAACCAGCATTCAGTTTTGCCATATTGTTTGTCATGTATGTCAGAAGCCCACAATTTCCAAGTGAAGGAACAAAAAAATGGTTAGTCACTAATCTGGACATGTCTGACAACTATGGCAACCAATATTTCAAAATTGTCGGCAAATTCAAAATTAAACACTTCCGCTGGGCAAAAAATAGCTTTTATCCTTGACCTTCCTTAAATAATTTGCAAACACCAATAAAATATTCGGAAAGTTGCAGATTCCATGTTACACTCATCAGTGACGTGAAATAAACTCACCCTGGTCCCATAGACCTTCACCTCACGTTGGCACACTTTCTTCGTAAAGGCCACCATTGTCAGGCTCGCTGTTGAGCCGCCTTCAAACTGGAAATTTACGACCTGCAAAGATATTTACTGATGCAGTCACTTTCCCTATCTGGTCAGCTAGATCTGTGTAATGAAAAAGAAATTTAAACAAATCAAACATTGATTACAATTTATGACTTATCAGATATGTTCTGATGAGTAAATATTGACATTTGTTTCTTTCCAACATATGCATATAGAAAGAAGCCATCTCTGTGAATATTCAAAATCTTTTGTGCAAAAAATACAAGAGAATATCTTATCTCACATTGGGTCATAAGTAGACTTTCTACAAATATAATTTAACTCGTTGACTCATAAGCCATATTTGAGTCCCTCGCTATACTACAGTGAAAATAACAAAAGTGCAGCAAAATTGACAAGTTTAGTGAAAATGGCAACAATAGAGTGAAAATGTTTATAACGTTCAGAAATATATTTCATATCTTTTTGAAACTTTAGTATTTCACATTTCATATATTCCTATTGCCCAAAAGGCCATATCCTGATACTTCAACTTTATGTCACAAATAGCAATTATTACAATCTGCAATCAACCCCACACGGACTAACATGACACTTTCAGACTAATTTTCAAGGCCTTGACCTCATTTTAATTTGACCTTGACCCACCTGGTGTGACATTACGTCATTATCACACTCATACACACATCTTCCATATGGTCCAGTCTTGAGGGCCTCTGTCACACTTTCAATGTCAGGGACATCTGCGATGACAGAAACTGGCCAGCCTCGGTTACCCTGGCAACCAAATAAAAATATCAGCCATGCTATCGAAAACATAGTGATATAATTGTGTCATGAAATGAATATCCTGATCTATGCCATGGTAAAGAAACAAATGCCAAATCGTACATTATATCAGTAATCTTTGATTTAGGTAATGAGAAAAAAGAAATGGGATTTCTCGTATTTAATTCCTGGGCTTAGTAACGGAAAATGACCCCTCTTGTTAACGAATAGAAAACCAATAATTAAGCCAAGGGCTTAAATTTTGGCAATGCTTGCAACTGAACAAAGTTATTCTAACACACGATAAAAGGGAATGAACGTTAATTTAAAAGGAATAAAACAGAACGCCTGAAGCATAAACAGTCATTAAAGAACTATCATAAACCTGAACTTGAATGACACCCCTTCTTTTTGATGAAATATTTACATACTTTACTCTGTTCTTTGGGAAGTGTCCTATGATACTATCATATTTTCTTGCGATTGAGTGTGAGTCATATGGATTGAGATTGTCTATTTGAGTACAGAGTACCTCCTTTTCTTGGGACTCCCAAAAGTTACGTATACATGAAAACCTCTAACTGCACTACAAACGTGCACTACAAGCGTTATGTATTCTGAAGTTTGCCATGTGCTTTTGCAAAGGGACGTCACACTAAACAATAAAATTTGAAATCGTAATTTAGCCCCATGGGCTTAATAACAGGAAAATATCCAGTTTCTAAGCCCATTGGCGTAATGACGAATGGGCTTAAATACGGAAAATCCTGGTAGTTCTTCTGTCAATGATGCCTCAATGTGTCAGGTTAATGTTAGACAAAAGTGGGGCAGGCCTCATACATTCAGTTTGTTGCAGAATTCCATGAACACAGGAACTTGCTGCCACACTGAGAAACACACCTGGGACAAATCTGGGACTCAAACCAAGGGACATAACTCTGCGTAGTGCCTCCTAATATGGCTGCTCACTGAACCTCTAGCAATCAATATGCAAAGTTCTTCTAACTTATTGGAAAGATTAAGTAATATATCGCCTTGTTCACAGTTGAGAACAATATAGTATGATATCACCTGCTGTTCTTGTCATACAACGAACAAAATGTTGATATCTGTAGATCTGACATTTTATATGATATCATGACTCATAACCAACCTGCAATTTGCAAATAATGGAACAACTCTTTGATTTATACACAAATTATTGTGACGTTTTGTGTACCATTTTCTGGCACACTATATTAAACAACACAAAGAATTCATTTTCTGTATAAATTTATAATCAAGTAACTGTTCATGTTGGAAAAATTAACTGAGCTTTTATGCATTAAAAAGAAAAAGCTGATCTCAAACCAAATTACCGTCTGACGAAACCTGAAAGTGAAATGGTAGCAACCTAAGGATTATGTCTCTCATGAATGAATGTCTCTGCAATGGCTCACACAAGACATTCACTCATGGGAGATAATCCTTAATACCACTGTAGTCTCGTGATGATCCGTGTTAGAATTTATCTTCAGCAACCCAAGCTTGTCGTAAGAGGCGACTAACGGGATCGAGTGCTCAGACTCGCTGACTTGGTTGACACATGTCATTGTGTCCCAATTTCTTAGATCGATCATGATGTTGATCACTGGATTGTGTGATCCAGACTGATTATTTACAGACCGCCGCCATACAGCTGGAATATTGCTGAGTGCAGCATTAAACAACCAGTCAATAAGTATAATTCCTCTGTATCTCATAGCCTGGTATCTAAATGTCCACACAAATGTCTTGCTAAGCAAAGACAACTCTGTTGATAAGAACTCACAGATTTGACTTCATCAAGGTAATATCTTTTCGCTGAGTATGGACAAGAGGTCTCTATCTTCTGTGGACAGTCCATGCAACGAGATGCTGCCCCCTTTGGCTGAAAACATATTACATTGTTTAATCTATGTCACATGATCATAACGGGTTCGGGTATTGAGACGGGTAGCCGGGTCCAACTCATTACCCACCCGTCCCGGGTATCCGGGCTACCCATCCCTGCCCTAGTGGAGACCGATATTTTGAAAGGATTGTATGTCTGAATTAAGAGAGCAGAGATAATAGCATTTAAACAAATTATGGAGCTGTCTATGTTCAAACACTGTTTTTTCACATTGATATACTTTGTGCATATGACGGGCATTAAAATATGCCTATTATCCTCTGCAGTTCTGCTGACATCAAATGAGCTGTTTCAGTCAATAGTGGTTAGTCATCTTCCTGAAGCAAAGGGGTTGACTGACTACAAAAGTCCCATTTCCATCCTTGTTGAGCAAGGCTGGAATTCTATGGCCTGATTGTAGTGCCACCAGTGGCCGTAAGGAGTCATGTCCCTTCTATTGACCAATCAAAGTCCACCCATCATATTAGTTTGAATTTGCTTCTGACAAAATGATGACACTCAGATGATCTGATTGAAAATCAAGATCTATATTCAGTGTATGAAATAAGCCAAAAACCCAGCCAGACATCAGGGCGGGTAACTTCAAAATGTTACCAGCACAAAATGGATTTATCCAGACCAGACAATCCAAAGAGAATAACTCCATTTTCAGTTACAATGAAAAATTAAAGATACGGTGAATTTACTCAGATGTATGGAACATGATATCTAAAATTTTTACCAGACCATCGGGCTGGCGAGCTGTAAATGTATACCGGCCGTCTGAAATCTAACCCGTCTCGGGCAGTTGGACGGGTCTTATTTCATACACTGCTATATTGTAATGAAACTGGTGATACCTTGCAAAGTGCATCCACGTACTTGCGCAACATCATGAAAATATTTTGAAATTATCTGTCCATGCCCTTTTGACTATAAGATTGCTTTGCAAATCTTGCAGTCGACTGAAATCCAATTTCATTACATGGCTTTGTCTGCACAGGCTCATTAGTCAAACCAAACAATAAACTGACTATCTGAAATTCCAGCCAAGAAAGTTATCTCCCTTGCTTCAAGAAGATGTGGTTATTGTGATTTGACTCTGTTTGACCAATCAGAATCAAATAATGACCAAATTTATACTAGAATACCACATAATGCCCATGCATTGTGTATAGCAGTGCAGTGAACTTACCTTGCTATCATAGGCAAAACAATGTTGTCTTTTTCCCATATACAGAGTTAGTTACTTGTCAGAACTTCCATATGACTTCACCAATTGTAGTGAATGAGTGAGTTGAGTTTTACGCCAATTTTAGCAATATTCCATCAATATCACTGCGGGGGGGCACTAGATATGGGCTTCATACAATGTGCCCATATTGGGAATCAAACCCGGGTCTTCAGCGAGGCAAGCAAACACCTTAACCACTAGGCTACCAATCCGCCCCCTCACTAGTTGCAGCCTTGAGGAAGTTATTGTAATGTTTGTATTGCACTGTAAGCTATAGTATGCATATTTTCACTGTTTACAATATTACATGAGAATACAAAGTGTGTCTGTAAATGTCTCTTTCAGTTATTTCTAATCCATTTTCATAAATTTCCTAATCCCAGGCCAAATACCTGCAGTGAGGTGAATCCTTATTGTTAAGTCCTGATTCATCCTCGGTTTAATACAACATATAAATGGGAGTCCAGGACACAGAAACAAAAAAGGTTTGGGCAAACTTAAAAATTAATTACTATAAGAATGATTAAAAAAGCTTGCGTTTCTTATAAGTGCTAATGTTAATAATGGTTATCACCTACGTAAGTAATACAAACATAACCATAACTCGAATCAGGGTCTTGTTTCACATAGCGATCTTAGCACTACAACTGCCGTAAGTCTATCAGGGATTTACAGGACGCAAATTCCTGCATCCTATATGTATAAAAATTGACAACGGACGTAACGAAATTTATAAGCGCATCCATACAGATGCAGAAAAAGTCCAAACATTTTTTGTAACAATTTCGATGAAGTAACAATAAGTCATCACTGAGTCTGCTACTAACCGGGTATAATTTGCAATTTAATTACTGTAACAATGTGATGAACATGATACACAATATAATAACAGTAACTGAAACACAACAATATTACAACATAGTATTAATAATATTCAGTCCAGGACATCTGAAAATTAAGAGTATGAGTCCCAGGGACCCTCACATAAAGGACTCAATGTATATCCCTGAGTCTATGTTAAACTATAGGAGTTACCGACAGTCACGACTAACGCTTTGTCTCTGAATACATATAACTTTAATTTTTCAAGTACTTTTAAATTCAAAAGGAGCCCCAGTGAGATGGAAGATACATTTTTGCCCGAAGTTACTTTTCTGATACTTATTGATAATCAATCGATATCCATTTAACGATGATCTATCTCTGCAAGCTATATTGATAGTCAGCATACTCAGCATTATTTAGGGCAGAAAGGGCTGGTCGTAAAGGAACATAATGTAGTGCAGGGACTGTGTGAAGACTACTGACAGTCGGGGCCCTGATAACAGTTGTAAAATATTAGAACCTGTGAAGATCCGGGTTAGAATTTGTCTTCAGCAACCCAAGCTTGTCATAAGAGGCAACTAACGGGATCGGGTGGTCAGGCTCGCTGACTTGGTTTAACACATATTATCGTATCCCAATTGTGTAGATTGATGCTCATGCTGTTGATCACTGGATTGTCTGGCCACTTGATTATTTACAGACCGCCGCCATATAGATGGAATATTGCTGAGTGCAGCATTAAACAACAAACCAACCAACCAGCCCCAGTTTAACAGACATGGATATAACCTGCATCCCTGAGGTATGACAAAATTTCCACCTTATCCCCTTTCCGGAAATGGCTGACATTTCCAAATGATGATATACGCTGACATTTCTTCTCCCCCATCCAACACTTGATGAGGTCCACATCATGGCAACACTTTCCCAGCAGAGAATTACAACTCTCTTCTTCATTCCTCCAGTTCCCTCTGACGAAGGCATGTGGAAAGTGCCAGAAACCAACCTGAATTGGAATTTCCGTCGACATATTTTTTTAAATATTGATATTTCACTACCTTGTGTTTAGATGCCATCAAAAACTATCCAAGACGGTTCCTCAAAACCATCTAAGCAGTCAGCTGTCAGACGGCTACATTAAAGTCTGTGAGTCACGATCACCCAGAAAGAGGTAAACAGGTTTGCTATCTACAACTTCCACAACAAACAAATGCAAATAGGGGGCAAAAACATCAAAATTTCAATATGTTGGGGGGTTTTTAACACAGAATTTTTGTTCTGTAATTATCTTTTATTTCAGAAACCCCTGTTACAAATTCCCTGGGCTGGAGCCCCAATTTGTAACAGGAGTTTCTGAAATAAAAAGATAATTAAAAAAAATATCTGTGTTAAAGAAAAATGCACATGAAAAAAACTGATCAACCATATTATTGCCCACTCAAGCTGAAAGTCTAAAGGTAGCTGCCTAAGAACTATCTCTCTCTCATGAATGCCTGTCCTTCTGCAAAGGTTCAAACAAAGCATTCATGAATGACAGATAATCCTTATTTTCACTGAATCTCACCGGCTATTATTTGAATTATTTCACAGATTTCACAAAGGAACCTCAGTCCTCTGCTGTAGTGAGTGAGTGAGTATGGTTTTACCCTGCTTTTAGCAATATCACGGCAGGGGACACCAGAAATGGGCTTCACTCATTGCACCCGTGTGCTGAATCGAATGCTTTAACCATTAGGCTACCCCACCACCCCTCAGCTATTGTTAGCATGTTTAAGTATGTGTTACAATCACCAAGCACCTGTGCAAACTACCACTTCTACAACTAGCACACACAAAAGGGTGCAAAAAAGCAAAAGATCCGGTTTGAATACATATGTGCAAAGGAAACAAACACCGCAAAGAAAAGAAAAATTGCAGTCAAAGCAAATGTCCAGATCTAAATATTCAAACCGTTTGGACGTTGGCAAGCAAAGACAATATCTTGGCTGCAATACCTTATCAGCTTTTGTAAAGTGTGTTAGATTCCCAAACGATGCTACTTTGAGACATCTAGTCTCCCCGAACCAGTATTTGATGAGGTCGACGTCATGGCAACACTTGGCAAGCAGAGAGTTGGAACTCTCACTTGCATTGCGCCAGTTTCCGCGAACAAACGAATGAGCAAAATGCCAGAAACCGACCTGGTTAAAAACAAACGTATACATTCATTAAATATTGGAAAGCAGTAATATTTACAGAAACCATTTTTTAGGAACCATGATGTTTTTGTATGGCAACTAAACACTATTTATCATACTTCACAAAAAATAGATGAAAATATGACAATTCTATGTTGCATAAAGAAAACTGCAAACACAGTTTTTACTCTTAAGCATATCAAACATGAAAGTGTAAAACAACAAACAGTAAACATTTCTGTAGACATTATCACACAAACTGGACTGAACTGCATTTGACTTCCCTCTCAAACACACGAACAAGTTGTCAACACGATTACAAGAGTTATCTCCCTTTGTCCACAGAGCTCAAAGAATAAAAATATTTTTGTTCTTATTTTTTTTCTCCAATGATCATCCAAACAAATACTTCACAAATAGGACCGAAACTTAATTTTGATCAAAATCAGTTCTTTTACCATCTTAATCTTGTACATGTGGCAACTGACTGCAGCAGGGCTGGGACGGGTAGGAAAAAATTGAATCGAGTACCCGCATGTACTTACCCGAATCAGAATCGAGTACCCGGAAATGTATGGAATACAACACTTCTGTCAACTTTCTGAATATTCAATCACGATTTGACAGAGATTATTATAGAAACTTGAAAGGATGGCAATAAGACATTGAAACTGATTTTAGACTATTTAATTTACGTCTGTTTAACTAAAAGAGTAACACCATTACTTACATTCCACGGCACTTTTCGTTCCTGCTGTTACCGTGACTTGACAACTCATTGCTCATGTGCAGATAAATTACAGTCGTTAATAATAACCTTCATTAACTGGACAATACCAAAGATGTAAACGTGTGTTACGTCAATGAAAAAGAAAAGTTATTTTGTCAACTAGTAAACAACTACCTTCAGATGTGATATTGTAACTGAACCTATAATGTTTTACATGTAGACTTTATGTATTTACATAGAATAAAATTTGATTGATGTAATTACTGACTGCAGAATTCTATACAAGATTTTTTTTCAGACCGGCAAACTGTAATGCAACTGAGTTCAGCAGCATCGCAAAATGCTTCGCTGGAAAGACTGGTCATGTTGTTCTGTTGCACAACTCAGTTGCATTACAGTTTGTCTATTATACATTACAGAGTACAGGCTAATACAGGGCCGTGAATAACTCATTGGCCGTATATGAAATATTTGTAGTGAGTAAATGTTTATCCTTCCAGAAGATTATTAAAAGTCGCATTGAAATACTTTTGTTTGAATGTAGGGATAAAGAAATGTATCTAAATGCTATTTTTTCACGTTTAAATAAAAAAGCCACAAAAACTGTTGTTATTTAAATATTTCTAAATTTGTATCTAAGTGAACAATACGTATCTTCATTGGAATAACTGTATGCTGATTATTATTTGTTAAACTATAAAATGTATAGTAACTGAATGGCATTATATGTGCTCTACGTGAATTGTGCTTCTATATATATTTCTTCCTATTGTCATGATAATCAGTCGAACATTATATCTGCAAATCAGAATGTGCTCTCTCAATAAACGTTCGTTTTATCATGTTAATTCATTAGTTTTAATTGAAATTCCCAACACATACAATCATTTAATTACAATCTCTCTTATGGTGAATGTATTAGAGTTACACAATGTAATGAACACCTTCATGTTCTACGTTGTGTTTTAGAGCAAGATGTTTGTGCATTGAACTTGTACTGCTTCCGCAATAAATAACATGGTACTATAGTCAGCATTTGGTTCTCTTGCCATTTGCATCAAGCTCAAAATGAGCCCAAACACTCAACTTAGTACGCGTGTCGTCCATTTTGCTCTAGGTTAGAATTACATGCCCTTGAAATTAGAGTTCTCTCCCTTTCCGGGTACTCGATTCTTTGAAATAGGACTCGATTCCAGCTGTACCCGACCCGGATTCGAGTACCCGAGTACCCGTCCCAGCCCTAGACTGCAGTGGGTGTAAGTTCAAAGTTGGTCAACGTGGAAAGGAAGGTAACTCATTAAATGAAAACAACCAAAAGGAGCTTTTGAAAAATGTCACATTTACACAATAAACCTTGATGTTTTTAGAAAAATATATACAAGCCAAATAATCTACCAACTGGTGTCTATCCATAATATAAATCAAATAAAGAATTGAATCAATTCATAAATACATACAGTATTCAACATATTTAGCACCCCAGGTGTTAAGTTAATAAAACTCCAAAAGGGGTGCTTATTAGGATATGAAAAGAAACAGGGGCACAAACTAGGAAGAGGTCTAAAATCAAATAAAACAGTCAGTCAACAGGAATTGCCACACATCGCAAACACATCCTTTCCATCTCACCTCAGTAACCTATATTACTTCTTTCAGTTGTTGATCACAATACAATTCAGTAAAAAAATTTGATTGTCAAAATTGGTTGAGGGGGCTGGAGGTGAAAGAACACTCAACATGCTTCATATTTCTAATAGGGAGCGTTTATTAGGGAGGCGACATTAAATACGTCAAATACAGTACACATACATACAAGAGCATAGCCCTGGAACTACTTACCGGCTCTGTGTGGTGAATATTGACCACTTCCCCTATCCTGCCGCTAGCGATAACCTCTTTAATCTTCCTGGCCCACGGAACATACCGGAGCACATGACAGACAGCCAAGCAAACATTGTGCTGCTTGCATGTCTTCACGATCTCACGACAGTCAGCCTCCGTAACCTGATGTTGGCCGCAACAAACATATAAAATTGGTACAAACAACAACATTATTTGCATATTTACTTCTGTAAAACTAATTCATATAGGGTCCATAAGAAGGTCACGGCACTTTGCGAGACAAGATCTCGTAGAGACAAGGTTTCATACCTTTTCGAATGGCCTCATGATTGACAGTTGACAGTAAGGAACCGATAATCCTTGCAGGGATAACAAATTTCCAATCTAACCATCCCGAAATTATGACTGTCAACAGCTGTGACAGCCAAGCATGGTTGTACACTTGGTCAGGTAGTAAAGTTATATTTGGCAGTCACGCAATTTGAACCAGAACTCGTTCTTGAATATACGCTTGTCACCGGAAATCTGCTTCCGGAAATTAGCTGGTCCCCGTCTCGCATATAGCAAGTTGGTATGCACAAAGGGAGCCTGGAACCTGCTTAGTACCTGAAGTAGCACCTTGTGAGATTTAAACAGGAACAACATTCAAGTGCCTCTGCTATTGCTTTTAAAGGTGAGGTGAGGTGAAATTGGGTTTAACGTCGTTCTTGAGAATATTTCGCTCATATGACGACGTGCATGCATGTGTATGTGAAGGTGCGGCTGCTTGTACTAGCCCAGACTGAAGCTGGTTTTATAGTGCTAGCCCACTGAGATACCATGCCGCAGTGAAGCATGAATACCCCACTTAGACACTTTATACTGACTCCGAGCCGACCAGTCCTTGACGTACCCATTAATGCCGAGCGCCAGGCAGGGACCAACAAGTACCATATTTTAACGTCTTTTGGTATGACGCGGTCGGGGATCGAACCCGTAACCTTCCGCTCTCCGGGCGGACGCTCTAACCACTACACCACGGAGGCGGTCTGCTTTTAAAGTAAAAGTAAATTCAAACTGCCTGTCTGTAATACGGTTCCAATCCTTTCCTAAACATGATAATCCCACTCCCAACACCCAAATATTCAACATAACGCCCCATATACTCAACAAAAATCCATCTTGTTTGATCTGAGAGAAATGATTTTGTCATAATTCTTGTACGTTCCTTGATATACAGTGAGTCAATAAGAAAGATGGCAATATATGGATGAACAACTTCTTAATTACAGTGACAGCGATGTTTCGATGAAGGTTCTAAGTGACTTATTGCTACCTTACTGATCCAACTTCTAAATGCCTCTCAAAGTCAATGAGAAGGTTTTCATATTGGTTTCAGCACTATTCCAGCAATGGGCTTCCAACATTATGCCAGCATGAGGAATCTGAACTGAAAAGCTGTACTAAACAAGTATGACATATTGGACACATAATTTGTCAGAAAATTAAGAATGATTAATTTTCATATTTTCTCAAATGAATCCTATCAACAAAGTATTTCTGACAGAACTACCTGAGCAATGTTTGAATCGTACACACTTACAGCCATTGGCTTCTCCAGCAGAATGTTATAGCCCTTCTTGGCAAAGGCTACAGCAGGATCCTGAAAGTAAAAGAAAGTCTTATGCCACTTTTAGCAATATTCCAGCAATATCACGGCAGGGGACACCACAAATGGGCATCACACATTTAACCCATGTGGGGAATCGAACCCAGGACGAGCGGATGCTTTAACCACTAGGCTACCCCACTGCCCCTATACATTTGAAGGAAAACTAGTGGTTGATGTTATGAGCAGCGATCGCGAGAGTAACACACATGTACGATGGTTTGGTGTGGTTGTTGTTTGACATCGATTGCAGCAATATTTCAGCTATATGTCTATGATCTGTAAATAATCGAGTCTGAACCAGACAATCCAGTGATCAACAATATGAGCATTGATCTTCGTTACTGGGATACGATGACATGTGTCAACCAAGTTGGCGACCCGACCTACCGATTCTGTTAGTTGCCTCTTATGACAAGCATTGGTTACTGAAGATCAATTCTAACCTGGAATTTCATGTCCCATGTTAGATGGTCAAGCACTGTAATAATTGTTCTCTACTACAATGCTGTCTGGAGAAAACATGCTCAAGTTGAATTTGCCGACATTGGAACAAAACCATTGCAAAATTTCAAGAAAAAGCTGGATAAGTCCAGATTGGATGATGCTGACATAAGGGTAACAAACCTTGTGGTCTCGGTCCACTGTTGTGATGATGACGCAGTCGGCAAACTTGTCTCTCTCGACTGCTTCATGCCAGTCTGTCAGGATAAAGTAATATGAAAATACAGCAACATTGTCCTGATATTTTAACACATGTGCTTTCTTGTGAGTATGGTTTTACTCCACTTTTAGCGATTATAAAGAAGAAATGGGCTTCCCAAATTGTACCCGGGTCATAGGCATGATGAGTGAACGCTTTAACCTCTAGGCTACCCCACCACCCCTACAGTGTAATGAACGAACACTTTAACCTCTAGGCTACCCCACCACCCCTACAGTGTAATGAACGAACGCTTTAACCTCTTGGCTACCCCACCACCCCTACTGTGTGATGAGTGAACACTTTAACCTCTTGGCTACCCCACCACCCCTACGGTGTGATGAGTGAACACTTTAACCTCTTGGCTACCCCACCACCCCCCACGTGTGTGATGAGCTTAACACTTTAACCTCTTATTACCCCACCACCCCTACGGTGTGATGAGCGAACACTTTAACCTCTTGGCTACCCCACCACCCCTACGGTGTGATGAGTGAACGCTTTAACCTCTTGGCTACCCCACCACCCCTACTGTGTGATGAGTGAACACTTTAACCTCTTGGCTACCCCACCACCCCTACGGTGTGATGAGTGAACGCTTTAACCTCTTGGCTACCCCACCACCCCTACGGTGTGATGATGGAACGCTTTAACCTCTTGGCTACCCCACCACCCCTACGGTGTAATGATGGAATGCTCTTAACCTCTTGGCTACCCCACCACCCCTACGGTGTAATGATGTGAACGCTTTAACCTCTTGGCTACCCCACCACCCTACGGTGTGATGAGTGAACGCTTTAACCTCTTGGCTACCCCACCACCCCTACGGTGTGATGAACGAACGCTTTAACCTCTTGGCTACCCCACCAACCCTACGGTGTGATGAGTGAACGCTTTAACCTCTTGGCTACCCCACTGCCCCTACGGTGTGATGAGTGAACGCTTTAACGTCTTGGCTACCACACCACCCCTACAGTGTAATGATGGAACGCTCTAACCTCTTGGCTACCCCACCACCCCTACGGTGTAATGATGGAACGCTCTAACCTCTTGGCTACCCCACCACCCCAGGCTTGCTTGCACTAGTCTGGACTAATTCTGGTTCGATAAAGCTTTTCCACTAGTTAACCTTGAATACTCTACTCAGACACTGATGCCAAGACCTCCATCATTGTGGTCAAAATGGTCAGTTATGGAAGGGGCTGCAGGGAAGGGGATCCGTTTGCCAAACTTGTTTGTTCCTAAATGCCACACTGAGCAATATTTCATCTACATTGCCCAGTCTTTAACTAATCGAGTCTGGACCAGACAGTTCTAACTCATATCTTCACAAGTCTCTCATCTTCTTGTTCAGGAAGATCAGACTCGGTTACATCAAAAACCATCCTTTAACGTTTTTTAAAAAGACAAAGTCTGGGTTCAAACAACCAACTTTCTACTCTCCTGGCACACACTTTGTCTACTAAACCAAGGAGGCTACCAAATAACTGAAAAAGGTTATACTTGACAGAAAATGCCTTCAGATGTTGTATATTCTGTGTTCCACAATTGTAATTGTTCTCTTACCTGTGAAGACATTGCTTGATGGGACGTTGTTCCTTTCTTTGATTTGATTTCTCTGATATTCTCTGGGTTCAGCTAATCCCACCACCTGGACAAAAATATCCTCAATCAATCCTATAAAGTAACATATGTTATATGTGGGATAACACTTTCTAAATGGCATTGTGAATTCACTCTATAAAGTATTCAACTGGACATATGTATTATATCAAAAAAGCAGCTAACTTCATCAATATATTAAATGAAATAATTTCACAAAATATTTGATCATCAAAAATATGAACAATTCAATCCATGCTTTTGACTACAATGCATTTCCTCCTCTCTGGAACCTCCTTCAGTCTTTGACAGGGGTGGTGGGGTAGTCTAATTGTTAAAGTGTTCACTTGTCATGACGAAGATATTGCTGGGAACATTGAAGCCCAAAGGTGTCCCCTGCCGTGATATTGCTGGAACATTGCTAAAAGCGGCCTCAACCATACTCACTCACTTTATTTGAGGTTAGTACATGCATATCTTTGACTAACAACGTCTCTCTCCCTAAGCCCTCCAAGTCTTTGAGGATAGTACAAGCATATCTTAGACTAACATCTAGTCTCTGAAATGAACATATATTACAGAAAAACCTAAATATAATCATAATGTATAATATAAAGAAGCCCAGAGATTTTCTTCATTTTAAAAACCTGAATCTTGACTTGCCACAGTTTCTTGACTTACATGGGCTGTATTTCATATATTTGTTTCTTTGTTCAGGGTCTGTATGCAAGATCAATCCATAACTCTGCCCTCATATGCATCATACAAGTTTGATCTGTGTGCAGGCCTGACACATTAGCTATCCAAGTTACAAGACCAGTTTTACAATAAGTGAATGAATATATTATTTTACTTTGTTTAGGCAATATGGCAGGAGACACCGGACATGAGTTTCACATATCGTACCCATGTGGGGAATCAAACCCGAGTCTTCAGCGTGATGAGCGAAAACTTTTACCATTGGGCTACCTCATGGCCCTAGGTGTACAGTAACTCCTGACTTCAGACTGTGACTGCCTAGGTCTGCCCCACCCCCGTCAACTCACCCTCATTCTATCAGGGTAGTGCTGTGCATAAGCTGCGTACGTGCCTCCTCGACTGCCTGCTCCAACCACAATACAGGTCACCGCACCAGTCTGTTGCTAGGTCTGCCCCACCCCCGTCAACTCACCCTCATTCTATCAGGGTAGTGCTGTGCATAAGCTGCGTACGTGCCTCCTCGACTGCCTGCTCCAACCACAATACAGGTCACCGCACCAGTCTGTTGCTAGGTCTGCCCCACCCCGTCAACTCACCCTCATTCTATCAGGGTAGTGCTGTGCATAAGCTGCGTACGTGCCTCCTAGACTGCCTGCTCCAACCACAATACAGGTCACCGCACCAGTCTGTTGCTAGGTCTGCCCCACCCCGTCAACTCACCCTCATTCTATCAGGGTAGTGCTGTGCATAAGCTGCGTAGTGCTGTGCATAAGCGTGCCTCCTCGACTGCCTGCTCCAACCACAATACAGGTCACCGCACCAGTCTGTTGCTAGGTCTGCCCCACCCCGTCAACTCACCCTCATTCTATCAGGGTAGTGCTGTGCATAAGCTGCGTACGTGCCTCCTCGACTGCCTGCTCCAACCACAATACAGGTCACCGCACCAGTCTGTTGCTAGGTCTGCCCCACCCCGCCAACTCACCCTCATTCTATCAGGGTAGTGCTGTGCATAAGCTGCGACGTGCGTGCCTCCTCGACTGCCTGCTCCAACCACAATACAGGTCACCGCACCAGTCTGTTGCTAGGTCTGCCCCACCCCGTCAACTCACCCTCATTCTATCAGGGTAGTGCTGTGCATAAGCTGCGTACGTGCCTCCTCGACTGCCTGCCCCAACCACAATACAGGTCACCGCACCAGTCTGTTGCTAGGTCTGTCCCACCCCCGTCAACTCACCCTCATTCTATCAGGGTAGTGCTGTGCATAAGCTGCGTACGTGCCTCCTCGACTGCCTGCCCCAACCACAATACAGGTCACCGCACCAGTCTGTTGCTCTGGGTTCTTTTTCTTCAGCATGTTGATGATTTTAGACATCGCTGCAAGGGTAGAAAATTAAAAATCAACAATAAAAAACTTCAAAATTAATATATTTCTCCTGAGGCCAGACCAATTTTATTTCTTGTTCTTTGGATCTGTTGGTCATATTTTTTCAAGAATAAGAAAAAAAATAATTTTCCCCACTCACAAAATAAAATCTTAATGTAAATGTGATATAAGTGTAATACCCTTGAAATCAGTGTGAAACCTAAACTCACTCATCTTATTTTTAGTTGTTGTTTTTTGTTTTTTTTTATTTCCATCCATTTCATAACAACAATACATACACATGCATATATATGTGCATATAGATGTACACAGGATTGTGGTTCATTTAACTGTCATCTCTAAGACATTACACAGGATTGCTGAAAGGTATATGTGGAGTCGACCAAAGGTGTCATAGATGTACACAGGATTGTGATTCTTTAAATGTCATATCTAAGACATTACACAGGGTTGCTGAAAGCATATGTAGAGACGATCAAGGCATCATAGACGTACACAGGATTGTGGTTCATTTAAATGTCATATCTAAGACATTACACAGGGTTGCTGAAAGCATATGTAGAGACGATCAAGGCATCATAGACGTACACAGGATTGTGGTTCATTTAAATGTCATATCTAAGACATTACACAGGGTTGCTGAAAGCATATGTAGAGACGATCAAGGCATCATAGACGTACACAGGATTGTGGTTCATTTAAATGTCATATCTAAGACATTACACTGGATTGCTGAAAGGTATATGTGGAGTCGACCAAAGGTGTCATAGATGTACACAGGATTGTGGTTCATTTAAATGTCATATCTAAGACATTACACAGGGTTGCTGAAAGCATATGTAGAGATCGCATCAAGGCATCATAGACATTACACAGGATTGTGGTTCATTTAAATGTCATATCTAAGACATTACACAGGGTTGCTGAAAGCATATGTAGAGACGATCAAGGCATCATAGACGTACACAGGATTGTGGTTCATTTAAATGTCATATCTAAGACATTACACAGGGTTGCTGAAAGCATATGTAGAGACGATCAAGGCATCATAGACGTACACAGGATTGTGGTTCATTTAACTGTCATCTCTAAGACATTACACTGGATTGCTGAAAGGTATATGTGGAGTCGACCAAAGGTGTCATAGATGTACACAGGATTGTGATTCATTTAAATGTCATATCTAAGACATTACACAGGGTTGCTGAAAGCATATGTAGAGACGATCAAGGCATCATAGACGTACACAGGATTGTGGTTCATTTAAATGTCATATCTAAGACATTACACAGGGTTGCTGAAAGCATATGTAGAGATTGTCGATCAAGGCATCATAGACATTACACAGGATTGTGGTTCATTTAAATGTCATATCTAAGACATTACACAGGGTTGCTGAAAGCATATGTATCTAAGACATTACACAGGGTTGCGATCAAAGGCATCATAGGCGTACACAGGATTGTGGTTCATTTAAATGTCATATCTAAGACATTACACAGGGTTGCTGAAAGCATATGTAGAGACGATCAAGGCATCATAGAGCGTACACAGTACACAGGATTGTAAATGTCATTCATTTAAATGTCATATCTAAGACATTACATAGGGTTGATTGTGAAAGTTATGTAGATCTAAGACATTACACATCTGAAGGCATCAGCGATCAAGGCATCATAGTACACAGGATTGTGGTTCATTTAAATGTCATATCTAAGACATTACACAGGGTTGCTGAAAGCATATGTAGAGATCGATGTACACAGGATTGTGGTTCATTTAACATCATAGACATTACACAGGGTTGCGCATATCAAGGATTGTGGTTCATTTAAATGTCATATCTAAGACATTACACAGGGTTGCTGAAACAGAGGTTGCTGTACAAGGAGCATTTAATGTAGAGATTATTACGATCAAGGCATCGATCAAGGCATCATAGATGTACACAGGATTGTGGTTCATTTAACTGTCATCTCTAAGACATTACACAGGGTTGCTGAAAGCATATGTAGAGACGATCAAGGCATCATAGACGTACACAGGATTGTGGTTCATTTAACTGTCATGTCTAATATTACACTGGGGTTACTGACAGGATTGTAGAGTTCAAATTTAAATGTCAGGATTGTGGTTCTTTAAAGATATCTACACAGGGTTGCTGAAAGCATATGTAGAGACGATCATCAAGGCATCATAGACGCACACAGGATTGTGGTTCATTTAAATGTCATATCTAAGACATTACACAGGGTTGCTGAAAGCATATGATCAAGGCATCATAGAGAGATTGTGGTTCATTTAAATGATCAAGGCATCATAGAGGCTGAAAGCATATGTAGAGCGATCAAGGCATCATAGGACACAGGATTGTGGTTCATTTAAATGTCATATCTAAGACATTACACAGGGTTGCTGAAAGCATATGTAGAGACGATCAAGGCATCATAGACGCATACACACAGGATTGTGGTTCATTTAAATGTCATATCTAAGACATTACACAGGGGCTTGCTAGAGAAAGGCATCATATGTACACAGGATTGTGGAGTCATATCTAAGACATTACACAGGGTTGCTGAAAGCATGTACATCAGGATTGTACACAGGATTGTGGTTCATTTAAATGTCATATCTAAGACATTACACAGGGTTGCTGAAAGCATATGTAGAGACGATCAAGGCATCATAGACGTACACAGGATTGTGGTTCATTTAAATGTCATATCTAAGACATTACACAGGGTTGCTGAAAGCATATGTAGGATTTAACGATCAAGGCATCATAGACGACATACACAGGATTGTGGTTCATTTAAATGTCATATCTAAGACATTACACAGGGTTGCTGAAAGCATATGTAGAGACGATCAAGGCATCATAGACGTACACAGGATTGTGGTTCATTTAAATGTCATATCTAAGACATTACACAGGGTTGCTGAAAGCATATGTAGAGACGATCAAGGCATCATAGACGTACACAGGATTGTGGTTCATTTAAATGTCATATCTAAGACATTACACAGGGTTGCTGAGAAGCATATGTAGAGATCTAAGATCAAGGCATCATAGATGTACACAGGATTGTGGTTCATTTAAATGTCATATCTAAGACATTACACAGGGTTGCTGAAAGCATATGTAGAGAGACGATCAAGGCATCATAGAGGGTTGCGTACACAGGATTGTGGTTCATTTAAATGTCATATCTAAGACATTACACAGGGTTGCTGAAAGCATATGTAGAGACGATCAAGGCATCATAGACGTACACAGGATTGTGGTTCATTTAAATGTCATATCTAAGACATTACACAGGGTTGCTGAAAGCATATGTAGAGACGAGGCATCATAGATACACAGGATTGTGGTTCATTTAACTGTCATCTAAGACATTAGAGCATATGTAGAGACACAGGATTGTGGTTCATTTAAATGTCATATCTAAGACATTACACATGTACACAGGATTGTGGTTCATTTAACTGTCATATCTAAGACATTACACAGGGTTGCTGAAAGCATATGTAGAGACGATCAAGGCATCATAGATGTACACAGGATTGTGATTCTTTAAATGTCATATCTAAGACATTACACAGGGTTGCTGAAAGCATATGTAGAGACGATCAAGGCATCATAGATGTACACAGGATTGTGGTTCATTTAACTGTCATATCTAAGACATTACACAGGGTTGCTGAAAGCATATGTAGAGACGATCAAGGCATCATAGACGTACACAGGATTGTGGTTCATTTAACTGTCATATCTAAGACATTACACAGGGTTGCTGAAAGCATATGTAGAGACGATCAAGGCATCATAGACGTACACAGGATTGTGGTTCATTTAAATGTCATATCTAAGACATTACACAGGGTTGCTGAAAGCATATGTAGAGACGATCAAGGCATCATAGACGTACACAGGATTGTGGTTCATTTAAATGTCATATCTAAGACATTACACAGGGTTGCTGAAAGCATATGTAGAGACGATCAAGGCATCATAGACGTACACAGGATTGTGGTTCATTTAAATGGCATCATGTAGAGGCGATCACGCATACACAGGATTGTGGTTCATTTAAATGTCATATCTAAGACATTACACAGGGTTGCTGAAAGCATATGTAGAGACGATCAAGGCATCATAGACGTACACAGGATTGTGGTTCATTTAAATGTCATATCTAAGACATTACACAGGGTTGCTGAAAGCATATGTAGAGACGATCAAGGCATCAAGGCATCATAGTCATATCTAAGACATTACACACAAGGATTGTGGTTCATTTAAATGTCATATCTAAGACATTACACAGGGTTGCTGAAAGCATATGTAGAGACGATCAAGGCATCATAGACATACACAGGATTGTGGTTCATTTAAATGTCATATCTAAGACATTACACAGGGTTGCTGAAAGCATATGTAGAGACGATCAAGGCATCATAGACAGTACACAGGATTGTGGTTCATTTAAATGTCATATCTAAGACATTACACAGGGTTGCTGAAAGCATATGTAGAGACGATCAAGGCATCATAGACGTACACAGGATTGTGGTTCATTTAAATGTCATATCTAAGACATTACACAGGGTTGCTGAAAGCATATGTAGAGACGATCAAGGCATCATAGACGTACACAGGATTGTGGTTCATTTAAATGTCATATCTAAGACATTACACTGGGTTGCTGAAAGCATATGTAGAGAAAAGCATATGTAGAGATGACCAAAAGGCATGAAAGCTTGCTTGTTTACAGTTTGAGAATGCTGTAAATTTTGCTGCTTGGTAGTATCTATATATTTCTTGTTGTAAAGGTTTGAAATTTGGTTTGATTTTCCTAATAGTACATCTGTAAAGCATAGATTTTGTTATAAGAATAATTACATTCAAAGGATTATTATTTATACCCTTAAACCCAAATAACACATGCTCTTCATTGAATTCGATATTTCCTTCAGTATATTTTGC